TTGTGATGGGTGTCTATTATCTCAGAGAGGCAACAAAAACAGAACAATGTTGGTCTTGTACATGATGTGTAGCCACTGACTGTAGGTTATGAATGACTGGCACATTTTCATATGCCTCTGAATGCAGCAGGAACCTGCATATTCCATTGCAGGGTTGCCTCTGCATGGGACCACTCTTGCCATACTGGGGGTAAGTGGGGAACACATACAAAAACAAGAAAACACTGTGAACCCAATGTCTTGCAGGAAGAGGTGAAGAAAGTTGTCACACCCTTCTGAATTTACAAATCACAGCATTGGCTGACACTAAATGATTATAAGAGTATGGGTTCCCGCTTACTTTGTTTGAATGATCCTGCAACCTTGACGAAGTCTTCGAAATGTGCTTTTTCTATCTAGATGAATGTTGTCACAGCCACAGCATCTCTGATGCAGGGAATAAGTCATTTATCGAACATCTCAATTTAAACCTTAGTGGTCACTTTGCAAAATTCTTATTTGTTAATGGAATGTGTACATAATTTTTTATGGATATTATTAAAATATGGTATGACTCTTAATGGATATTGTAGAAATGTTGTATGACTCTCAGTAGTGGATGTAATTAGCAAGTAACCTTGATGGATGGAATGACTATCAGTAGAAGATTGATAAGTTTTTGAATGTATTTTATTATAGTGTTACACACGTTGTTTTCTTGATTTTGTATGTATACTGTTGTTGTATACTGGGGGTGCAGCAGTTTTTACACCATTCCAAGTAGCTCTCAAACATTCCTGTTAACCCAGAATTCTTCAGATAATATCCCAGAATGCAACGGTCATTCTTCCAGGTCCATAAAAGGATATACATTTCACTAGGTTGAACTGCTTCTTGCTGATGGCTGGCCTCTACTGAGCTAGACAACTACCCGAGTTTTAATTGGCTGAAGAGTTGAGGTTAAAATTCAGACAAAACCTGCACGTTTTTTTCAAGTGTTCCCTTTAATTCATTGTAATAGCAAAACTGTAGGGGAACTATTGACCTCAAAAGATCTATATGGAAATCAGAGTGCATACAAATGTGTATTAAAACTGCAGCTGCCGTACTCTGGAGCTGCATGTGCCACATTTCCCTCAGATTCATCTCTAGAGGGAAGCTATTTGATTATGTAGGTTTGTCACAGAAGCCAGCTGGGCACAGCACAGACTGGCTAGTAACCAGAGAGTTTGATACTAAAGAAGTATTGTTCTGCAATCCACAAACTTGTGATGTTTGGGAAGCCAAGATGGTGTAGTGGTCAGAGTCTGGACTAGGATATGGGAGACCCAGTTTCAAATGTGCTGTACCAGGAAAATTGGTGGGTAGCCTTGGATAAATTGCCCTCTCTCAGCCTACCTCACAGGGCTGCAAGTGAGGGTGACATGAGGAAAGGAGAACCATGTGCGCTGCCGTGACTTTCTCGGAAAGTGTAAACAAAATATCAATGCTTACATGGAGTACAGAAAATGGAATGTGTGTTATTCCCTTACATAAAAGGAAACTGTATTTGAGTCTCCAGCTGTTCCCTTTGGAGAAGTCGGTGTAGGATAAACAAGCCACACTCCGTCCAGTTCCTTTCACAGGATGGCATGGGAGCTTAAGCCAAGGGAACCAGCCGGTGGATTGTGTCTTTGCCAGATAACTTTATTAAAGGTTGAACCCTGACAACAATCAGAAAGGGCAGGGGGAGATATTTACAAGTGCAAGAAGCTGAGACTTTTTATCAGCAGCACACTGAGCAGATAAGGAGGAGGGCTGGCCCATCCCAGTGGCATGGCCCAAACACACTCTTTGCTTTGGATTCTCTACCGGGAAAACGAACGGAGCCGCTGACATTTCTGCTTAAAAGGAAGAATCGATGGATCTTTGTTTCCCCCACTGTCTGCCTCTTTGACCTTATTGTGTTGCAGAATAGAAAAAAAGGGGGGGGGAGGAGAGGAGTGTACAAAGAAGGGGCTTGTGCTCCTTGGACCCCCCCCCCCATCGCAGCGTTTTGATCAACACTCATTGGGGATGCTGTTCTTTGGGCTGTTGCCTGATTCGCTGCCTCTGCTCATTTCAGATTCTTGTCCCACTGTAATAAGTCACACTCTTTTCCAGCCATCATCCCTGTATTGACAGGCAAATGTCACCCATGTTTGATTGACATCCAATTGCTCCTGGATGCAGAAGTATGATTTAGGAATCAATTCTGCCTATTTGTTTTATGCAGCCTCGTTCTGTCTAGTATTGCAAAGAAACAGCGGTTGCTTAAGATCAGCTTTGGAGATCTCGGATGATACAAACTACTGTTCATGTTACAGAAGTTGGGTGGCCCATTCACCTTGGGGGGGGAAAAGACATCTCCACCATCAATCCAAAAAGCTGGGGGGGGGGAGCAGAGAGGCTGTGAAAGGAAAGAGAAGTCAGTCAAACAGCCACTATCCCTGCTTAGAAATAGGCACAGAAACTTCTTCCCTGTCCTTAACTTGCAGCCTCTTGCAGAAAAGATCTGGGGTCCGAGTGATTCTTCATCATCTACTTTAAATAGGGAATTGATCATTTTTTTCAAGGAAAAAGAGTGTCAGTGGAGAAAAGGAGACCCCCTCCCAAGTGATGTGTTTGGGGAAGATACAGATCAGGATTAAAACTGGAAAGCAAAAAAAGAAGCGAGGGGGACATGTGCTTCGTCCAAATTGCTTTCGCTGGGTTGCTGGGCGGATTGTAACAGGCTGCCCTTGTATTAAAAGTGATATTTCACATGACAGACGGAGGCCGCCGGGGGAACCATTAAACAAGAAGTGGAGGGTGACCTTTACATTCTGGATCAGTGATCTGAAGGTTATCCCAGAAGGTGCGAAGTAGATCTCTAACCCCCTCCTGGATCCGCTCGGGCAAGAGAGCTGTCATCACTCAGGTCTCGGCCAGGGAAATGCTCACGATTTCCCTTGCGCTGCTCCGCAAGGAGAGAAAGAGCGAGGGGGGCGGGGGGGGGAAGGGGAGAACGAGGGGAGGAAAACATTTCCCCGCTCCTGTCAGCGAGATGCCAAACTCTCCGCGAGTGGGATGAGCCCAGCAGATGCCGGGAGGAGATGCCAAGGCGGCTCCCCTTTTCCCGGCGCTTTCGGGCGCCTATAAATGAGTCCGGCGTCTCCTCCGCCAGCCTCCTCTCCTCCTGGCAGGTGGCTGTGAGCGCTCCTCGCCGCCCGCCCGACCGCCCGTGCAGCTCCAGGCAGCGCGCTCTCCCTCGGCGGCGCCCCGCGAATCCTTAATTGATAA